TTTTCAAACTACTGAATGTGACCAGCTTCTTGAAAAATCAATGAATGTTTTTACATAGCGATACTATTTATGCTTTCATATTCTATGAAACTTTAACTTTGTTGAGTAAAACCGGTATATTACAAATACTTTATCACTGACAACTCATAACATGATTAAACATTCCAGTATGGCACAATAATCTCGTGACTTAAATGAATGTATCCATCGCCTTTTAAAAAAATATATTACTTTCTATTACTTCTCAGAAAACACGGATTTACGAAAAAAAGGTATATTTTTTATGACTACACTGATATAGTTAAGTGGCTTATTGACGTATCCCTTTGTTTCTGACCTATGTAGATATTTTTCGTTGGAAATTTAAAAGTTTGACAATTTTCCTGTGTTTACTGTAATATACTACTTGTTTTGATTGCCTTGAACAAAAGCAACTGTCTCCCGTAATTGAATCATTATTAACTTCAACACATTTGCATGCATACAGCATACAGTCTAATTAAGTAGATTAAAAAAGAATCATTGCACATAAATAAAGCCATTTTGCATTAACTTTGACTAATGCCTCTTAACATCATTCATAGCTTGGGTATCCCCTAATTCCTTACTGATACATATACATCGGCGGATGGAAAAATCCTTGTAGATCTAAGTAAAGTTAAGATTTGATTTGTAGTTGAGTCTAGTAGCTCGGTTGGCAGGGCGTGGGGCTGTTAACTCCGAGGTCACTGGTTCGAATCCCGCATCGACCAAGATTTTCATTTCACTTTCAATCTTAATACGAGTCAACCGAACCAAGACTGTCTTAGATAACTACTCTGATATATATAAACACATTTTTCGACATCCTTCCCAAAAAGCACACATAAGATAAGTAGCATGGTTGATAACTAACCAGTCATCATTGCCTGTCACGATATTAGGTAGTAGAAAATATGTTACGAAAACCATAAATCATTGATAATCAACATATACCTATTTGTCGAGGTGACTTTTAAACTTCTTATATTGTTGTTTGCAGTATGCCGTCGTTGGCTGGACCGAATGATCCATCTCTATTGGCAAATAGGCTCTTGTGCGGATGCCGCGGTGTTGCCAGTATTTTCAGCTTGATAGTAACTATGGATAGCGGCTAACAGTGGAATCCAAGACTCGCGTTTCCTTCTATTCAGGACTCATCAGCTGGGTGCACCTCTCTTCCAGTGATTGATGTTGTTCCCACTAAGGCAGGAATCGATCAAGTTGTTCCAATCAACGACGGGATACTCTAAGCAACAACATGAAAACCACACCCGTCGTATAAGAAGTGGCTGTTGTCACTCAGTGGCCTAGTGGATAATGCTCTGGTGTTTGAAGCGATAGCTCCCGAGTTCTTTTGGATCAAATTTACTTATATGCCTTTCATTGTTCACCTGCAGCGAACACAACCTGTTGGAATTGCTGAACAAAGTGTAACATTTTAGACTTGATCGAATATGTCTATATCGGTTCAAGAAAGCCAGTATTCTTATAAACTGATAATATGCAAAACATTCACATAAAAGATACACCAACTGCATTTGAAGTAGATGCGAAAAAGAATGAATGATTAGTTGGTTTAGCTGGAATTATGTGCTTTACTAAAACATTCCGCTGTGCAACATGATAAATGAGGAAAGGTATTCTACGTATAAATATTATGATAAGTTTATTGATCATTTTTAAAAGGTGGATTCATTTGTAGCAAAGAATTAGAGACAGAGCTTAATATAACTTTATGTTTATCAACACAGTTTGGTGACATTATTTCGTACTACAATAACAATGGCTTAATCTACCACTATATCAAAATAATAATAATAATAATGGTAATAATAATGTTTACATAATTATAATTACATATTTCGGTTTTAATGCATTGAAATCATAGTGTATCGATAAACCTGTTTCTATTTCTGTATGCCACTTTTGAAGCCAGTTATCTGCATTTGGTATGCTAAATTTCTTACCGGAAAATGCTTATCATGCATCTCCAGTATAGACCTACGTTCAGACTATATCAAGGAAAGGACAGTATCGTAAACAGCTCTTGTTGAGAAAAATTGCTTCGAAATGAAAAAAAAACTATACTGTGTTTTTTTCATCTTCCGGGGGGCTTAGGGTTTATCGTCGATCCCTAACAGTCATCAAGCTTCACTTATGACGAATTTTAGAAAAATATTAACCAAAGATACTGGCCGGTAATCTCGTAAAATTACGTCAGATCTTAGTGTTTCCCAATATTAATCTTAAACCAGGATAAAATGAGCAGTTCTTTTAATCTATAGCCATGAGTTCTCAGAAAAGCACTGGCTTACTAGTTCAGCCGTGATCACTGGAATTGGAAACATATTAAGAAAGGTTAAGAGCGGAAACCTTTAGTAGTTATTTTCAGCATAGTTCGGAATTTCATATTGATAATGTTTAAAAAGGTCTGACTGCATTATTTTGCGTACAACAATTTATTTTCATCTATTCCTCGTAAAAAAAAGAAAAGAAAGAAAGTCATCAAAGTAATAGAATACTCGGAAGGCAGACAGACTTTAATAACAGGTTTCAAACACATGTAGACAGAAATGACCGATATTGTGTTCTTATTGTGCACATAAAAGATAAACTATGAGCATTCACCTAGCTGACCTTAGTTTATCAGCTTTAATGAAGCGTATACTGTTCCTTACATTTAACACAGCTGTTAAGATTTATAAACTGAGAAACTGTCTTATTTGTTCAATTATGAATACTAAACAAAATGTGTTGTTTTCTCTGAGTAAACTAATTCATTTTGATAGCTAACTAGTACTATTTGTGTAATTAATTGCTTTATAGACTAGTGACTGGTCTCAGATATAATATTCAACGATAATATTGCTTCCTTTCTTTTGTGAAATTAATCCATTTAGGGTTAAAAGATTTTTCTTACGACACACAATGAGTTTTATACCGGACACTGATTGGTTGTTATCGATTACAATTAGATTATGATGATTAGATTACTTGATTCTTTCCCCTCTCAAATAAGATGATGAACTTTATGCTGAGTGAAATCTTTTCATCACCACGACTTGATATTTTGCTTACACACTACGATATATCTTCTTATTTAGACATTGAATATATTATTTCAAATCACCAATGGTATGTCGAAATTTAAGTAGTATAGGTATATAATAATCCCTGTAAACCGTTGTATGTAAAGGAATTTATCATTACCAACTACTTACTAGTGTAAGTCGGATAAACAAAGCTAAGTACGCACCAAACCAACTACTGTTTTACACGAGGAATAGATTCAGCTAACAGACAGACAGATATACGAACTAGAACAGAACTCCGTAAATAAGCGCACTGGTCGAAGCTATCTCATTTCAAAAGTCCCAGAAACAAAAAATAAAAAGGTAAGAAAAATATTGCATATAACACTTCACAAAGTAAGGTATCTTCCTTCAAAGTAACAGTATATCATTCTCATACAATGGTAGAAACAGACACCTAAACTAGCAATTTATTTCTTAGTGTGCAGATAAATCAAATGATGCGTGCATTAGATCACATCGGTTGAAACGCTAAATTACAATTCGACTGAAGTTTTCGTGAGATTTATTGGTGGTGTAATGAAACAAACAGTTACTGCTTTGGAAACACTTTAAACCGCTATATGCTTCTCGAACAGAATCTTGTTATAGATATGGAATCAAAATACATCGCTCTACGATGAGTTTCGACAAAAGATTTGTGCAACCATGGAACAGTCAGAACATAGTCCCCTCGATAAAAATTTCCGCTTACGGAAAGTAATTTCTTACACGCAAACAGACAATGAAATGTAGAAATTTACAAGAAAGTTCATCAGTTTTAGTTGCTACATTTGGCAGTAGTGCACAAACAAATATTGTGTAGAAGAATAATGATCTTGAAGTTTACGAAAGTGAATCAGATGAAAAAAGGTAAATAAATCAACATAACAAAGTGTTCAAGACTTCTAAAATGTTAAACAATAGATACATGTACTCTGTCATTACCAATTTTTAGCCATATCACGAAACGTTCCGAACTAATTATTTCTTACGTCTCAAGGACTCCAGCTAACCGGTCTACATGCCTTTACATGGGTTGAAATAGCTCTCAGTGACTTTATGGATCGGTGCTGTGAACTGTTCTGGCCATGTTTAGCTTTCTTTCGGCCTCATTCTGTTCAAGCTAATATAGCGCATCCAGATATGTAGTAACTCAACACACCCAACCTCTGTTTTAGCCATCATGATTAGCGCACTTTCTCAAATTCACAAACCGACTTAGTTCTTTCTCAAGCACTCTACACCTAACAAGAACATCGTTGGTTCTGTGGACCTACCAAATATCAAGAATGCTATAGACACTTATGATCCAAGAAATAGCCCCTTCACCTCTCATACTGTCCCGTCATATCTTCCAGTAGTATGCTAGGATGAAATGGAATGCTGTGTAGTATACATTTGAGCAGAGGTAGAAAGCATGAATCTTTTGAGATTATTGAGTTCAGACTATACCACAGAGATCTGCTACCTTATACTAGCTTTTGACTTAAAGTTATTAATTATCTGTTTCCCTGTCTTTTACAACAGAAAAAAGGTTAAGACAAACTCCATATAGTTAAGAATTACTGTCATGTCCACACAAATACCCAATCAACCCCTTTGATATTAATCTTCAACATGTTGCGCAGAAAGATACCAGATGGTTTACTATTAAACTGTCCAGCCTAGATGATGATGACACAATTAAAATCATCCGCATGGACTAAAAGTTTAATCCGTTTTATCTAAACTCCGCAGGATATCCAATAAAAACTCTTCGGCAATTTGTTTGGGTAGCCATAAAAAGACAATAGGCTGTGACAACAAAGTTTGAGACAGGATATATTTACTATCATACTTCGATATACTAAAAAGTATTGAGTAAAAATGTTTCTATAAGAGTGAACAAATTACAAACAGACTTACTGTTGACCAAACTGTGAAGTGCCAGTTTAACTTTGGAGAAATTCCCTCTGCCAATATCTAAAACAAATCGATAAAATCCTAAGCGTTTCCCAGCTCGTATTTCATTTTTATTCGTTGAATCTTTAGTAAAGTTTTGACATAATTTCTCAAAAATTGTCAAACTATCTGACCGCTTTTGTACAGATTTTTGATCAACTTTCTGACCAGTTTCTCCATTAAGTGATTGATAGGAATGTGTAGTAATACGATTAATTGCTTCGAACTTAGCTGAATAGCCCTAAAAGAAAATTTTGATAAGAAGACAAGGTAGGATAAGTCAATGTGCAGCAGTTTTCCATGTTTTATTTAGGGCGATTTTAACTTTTTTTCAATACCTACAAAATAGGCACCATCATGCCTACAGTGACTGAAAAGAATCTAATTCAGTAAATGAGATAAACTTCACCACCTTGAAATACTCAAATGGCTATTGGACACCAAGAAGAATAGCATTTATACGGCTACGCTATTTAGATTTAATCAATTATGCCTGAAGAAGGCGATTATTGGGTACCTTTGAATCTCATTGAAATTTGAACTATGTTCTAGCTCTCATTTGAGGACAAATATAATATGGATAACCACTAATCCGAAATCGTGACAGCTGGCGTATTTACATTCGGAAAGTAGGTGTTGACATTGTTGAGATCCACCATCAGTATTTTGGTGCCATACGTTGCGATGTAACTACAACTTTGAATTAGTTTCTCTGTTGTTTCGTAAATAGTTGAAAACAGTCAACATCAATTCACCATGTACTGTAGTGTTAGTAAAAGCCAGACAGTTTTTTATCACTCCGGTTCGGCTAGGAGGGATAGTTTCATAGATGCGTTCATTCTTAAGATCTTTTTTCGTGTAAATGAAATAGCACCTTTTCTGCACTTTGTATAAGTGTGTGTATCCAAATGGCACATTTTCAGTGGTAATTTCCAACTGAATTGAAAGTGAAACCACGAGGAATATACTTCACACGCGTAGCCTTAAGAATATTGTCGTGTTTGAAAACCATCTCATGGGATGACTTCTAGATGACTAAAAGTAAATTATAAACACTTCAGCATTTATTTTCACACTACTGTTTGAACACTCACCACGCAGCCAACAGATATGAAAGTCTTGACGGGTGTTGTTCATACAGCAGTCATTTAAAATAGGTATTTAACCATTAACGGTGATGAGTGTGATAAGAATATTGAAGTCAAAAAGTAACAAAATACACAAAGCCATCAAAATTCATAGATAACTTGCATAATACTATGACAAGAGAGGTGAAAACGGAAACCAATACAAAGGATTCTAGTAAAGATGAACCACCCAGAAGTACTTAGTGCTCGTGAGAGTAACCTTTGAGTTAACCAGTTTTCTTTAAAATTTTCCACTTATAGACATTAGAGCTGTTTAATCTAATCTAAGTATAATAACCAATCAAAATGACTTGAAAGCTTTATATTTGTCGTCTACTTAAGAATGAAATGGCCTTAAGTTAATTGCGTACCCGAAATACACATGAAGATGACGATTTACTCCAAAACGTATATCACCTTAAGATCGATTTTAACGAATACAGTGCTGGAGCAAAGATTTAATCAGAAGCATGCAGAAAACCAGTCAGTCAGTCCAGAGCATTTTCAACCAGATATGAAACATAAGCTTCCTCAATTTCAATTGCTATTTAAATTCTTTAAAATAGCTGAGTATCCATCATTCCAAATATGTGTCCCACAAACTAAAAAGGTAACCCGTAAGAAAATCATTCTGTTTTCATATCACGAAAATGTTTCCCACTTAATCATTACAAAAAATTTCCATTTTTCATAGCTTTCTGAAGCTGAGAATTCTAATCGAACAGAAACGTTACATTTGCTATAAATCGTACCTCATTGAAATATAGTCTTCCGAAGTTAATACCCATATCTTACCTCAACCCTTCCCGACCGGATTCAACCAGGCAAATTTGAGCTGAAATACGAAATTATCAGAATCCCACATATACTACCTTTAGAAAAAATGTTATTTTATAATGCTTCAGTGAAGAAGAATATATTTTAAGTCCAGCATTTGTAATCCGGAATGATGCAGCTTCCCTTACAAGACCATGTATAATAACCAATTTGTGCACACTGAACACTTTATCGGGATATCAAAGCTGATTTTGACAAACTAAATTAAATTTCATAGTGGTACATATTAGGAGCACGCCTGAGTTGTTGAAATAAGGATATTTCAACAATGACAACTTGGAAATATGCAATGAATGTTGTCATGGGGTTTCGGATAGTGCATAAATAAATGTTCCAAAAATTACCATTAGTAATACAAGACAGAAAGATTATCCAGTGGTGCAAAAATTATTGACAAATTAGTGAGAAACTGAAAATCGTATTTCACTTATATTCCAAAATGAGAATAAAGAGCAGGAGCTACTTTTCTAAAAACTTTCATAAAATCCTTCCAAGAACAACACTCATTTTACTGACTCTATTCAAGTACCTATAAAACAACTCAGCCTTTGTTCACAAAAATGAAATAAGTAACAACGAACAATCTTAATACGGCACATTTCATAAGGAATAGAGTATAGTGAGAATGCTGTTCTTCGATCAACTTCTAACTGCTTAAAAGCAACCTATATGAAGATTTACTCTTAAATAGAGATGAGATATATTAGGAATAAGACAATAACGCCTGGATCGAGAAAAATATAGTTGTGCATGTCTACATGTTAACAATGAGATACTTTCTTGAAAATTGAGGATTCATTAATCCATTTATCATTCATTAATTAGACATAAAAATTAAATAATAAAACCCTTCTTATTAACAGGTTATTTCTACTTGTGAAGAGATGAACAAGCCCAAACACACGCTTTTGAAAAAGTCCACAGATCACAACCATCACTAACAAAATCACCCACCCTAAGTCATTATCGCTTCACACCTACCTAGTGTGGTTGTTATTACTAGGAAATCGTGCATTTATTTATACGTAGAACTCTGTGTGCCTATGATTTAATAACATTTCCAAACTTTTTCGATCTAACTGAATATGCAAAAGAAAATTCAGGCACTTGTTTACACTCAGATCTCAGCTGACGCAAAGTTAGCAACGAGAATGTAAATGACATCCATGAACCAACACGCATGACTATAAGTAACAAGGTGCAAGTATACATATTTGTCAGACACTTTATTGTTCTAATGTAATGTTTGACACAGTATGGAAGAGACATTTTCCAGAGCGTACTTCAGCCTTCCCATCACTGATTAGAAAACCCCTTATGTGTGAACATGTTTTGTCAATTGTATTGCAGTTGTAGAGCTTTGCGCTTAGATACAGAATGTTTGTGAGCCAATTTATACAGATAAAGGTTTGGAAATACTATCAAATGACATTCTCAACGATATTCTAATGCATTTCTGTCTTCAGTCACAAACAAGCGAAAGCCGTAATCTTGAATCGAGTAAATTGTAATTTATTCTAAAAAAAGCTAAGATTAAAGAATCGTGAGTTTGTTTCCTACAGCAATATGAGGAGGACGCACTGAATGATTCCCAGTACTGTAACAGAAAAAATAAATAAGATCACCTGTTTCCGCATATGATAATGCTTCTTCGCTTTCACCCTAATCAGGTTGTGTGGTGCATTATCTTGACAATACAACTCCAAGTGTAGGGCACACCTCGTAAAATGATAACAATTACCAACGCATCAAAAACAGATTCGAGAAATCGAGAGAACTGGAACATCGTTATCACACTCCCCACAATACGTCTGTGTGGATTATTCCACGCTGACTGATGAGAAAATTGAAATCTGAGATAAGAGGTTATAAAACATGGAGACAGAAATTTATAAAGCTATGAAGCCAACTACTTCACTGGTGCCGCTATTCTGACAGAAACCAGAGTTAAAAGATTTAACTTTGACAAAAAGCATTGTTGCAAATTATGCTATGATAAACAACCCTTGAATAATTTAGACAGTTGGGCACTTTCTATGACACAAGTTATTCGGTAGCAATTTTAACATTTTGAAAGTTTACCACTCTTTAAATACAAATGTAAGTCCTCTACTGTAACCACACACAAATATGATGAGCCAGCGGTCATTTCCTTGATAAAGGTCATACGCCTGCAGGTTATCAGGTATCCCGTGCATCTTTTTTGAGATACGGTGGTACAGACCTTCCTTTTAGGCCTAAAACATTTCACACTCTCCATGACCAGGCCTACATACCTATTTAGGTTGGAAAAGCCTTCACCACATTGAACTCAATATCTTGATGAGAAATCGTTTTAAAATACTATCGACCTATCAATCTGCAGTCTCGAAAGATATGAAAACAAACATTTACGATAGAATAAAGTGGAAAAATGTGGTCAGTGTTTATGAACAACACGAACGTTCCAAATTTAAGGTACAAATTTAGAAATGGAGCTCCACAGGTACAAGAAATATTGCCTATATAAACTCCAGATAATCACGTAACACATTGCAGATTTCAACTTTTATTTACAGTAATGAAAATGGTAAGTCTAGATGTCTCTTTTGACCATATAGTTTGCACTAACGTGCCCAATAAATCCTGACATGCGACAGCTTTCCGAAAGTTCATAAAGCATATGGGTATGTCTTCTTGACGTGAATCATTCAAATACTATTAACGTGGCTCTAACTATTCCTCTAACCGGAGACCTATCGTATACACGATAGGTGTTACATATGCTTAGTATATAATCGGTTGAAAAATTTAACTTCAAGTCATAAAAATCATTTGCAATACTAGATAGGTAAGAATAAGGCTTGCTACCGCTTAAACATGAAGTCTGAAGACTTCTTGAGTACGAAAGATGCAGTATTTTATGGAGGTAGCTGTATGCAATTAATAATCAACTCACATTAATTTGACCATTCTTCTGAAGTGGAGTTGTTGATCCTTCTTCCATAAACTGTTTAGCGTACCTGTCTAAGCCCTCAACCTCGGATATTGCAGGTCTAAGTTGGCCACCGTGGGCAACAAGATAATTGATGTTTTGTACTTCGTTGTTACGTATATCAACGCCAGTGTATTCTCGAGATAGTTCATGATAAGACCTTTCAGGTGCACACCAATGAATAGTGACATTTCGCCCTAACTTGTTAGGTTCTTTTCTGTCATCACCAGAAATTCCAGAGTTTTGGGATGATTTGCCATTATGTATGTGAATTTCACGGGATACGTTTTACTCATTTCAAACAAAGTCTTGTACTAGGACAAAAAACAAATCATTATTATCATGTATTCAGAATTTGTTGGCCAAAAAGCCCAGGCTTCAAAACGCAACTCAAAATATTGCTTGCTGAGTACAACTAATTGTTGCATAGTTAAAACAAAATAATGGACCAAACTATAGATGGAGCTTGCACAAGTTTGGATGTGCCAGTTTATCTTTATGTTGCCAAAAAAGGTTCTGGGGTTTACTAAGATAATGATTTCATTTTGCATATACGAAATTTTCTTTGAGAACGTAGAGAACCAACGAAACTAGTGAGTAGTACACAGTTGAGACTGCAGTCAACGTCAAAATGTAGAAAGCAGCAAGCAGGTGGGTCTTTCATCCTTTTCAATTGTTTAGCTTGGATCAAAATGCCTACTAAGAATAAACTTGATTTTGGCACTGGTTGAATTTATTTAGCTTCTAATCAGGCTTCAGAATCTTACATTTTACAGAGGTATCGAATGTTTCAGGAGATGAAGTACGGCAGAGGAGAAGGAGGTGATGCAAAAGGAGAACGAAAGCAGCTGTCACATACTGAGGCATGAGACGGTCGTCAAGCCGTTCGGCATATCGTCAGACAGCCGCCGATAACTAATGAGTCGGGCAGTCACCAAGTAGATGATTTCATTTGGTCGAGACCGCCAAGTTTTACCCCATTTTAGAATCTCTTAGGGTCAAATTTTTTTAATTTTTGAGGCTCATTTCCACAGTTTTCAATATGACTGGCAGTGAAACGTTAAGGAGCTTATATCTTTCATCAGTTTATAATCAATATTTCGAACGTACACTACTGAAGATTGTCATCGGCCATAAAAGATATCTGAACCTCCTTCCTGAAGGTCTTAAATGCCCCCTTGTCTGAGTTATAAAACTTGTTTCCTCTCAAGAGACAGCCAATATTTTCCGTGACCTCGCCATTTTAGACTTCGTACCCCCTGGCTGAGTTCTCGATGTGATTCAAATAGGACCAGGGGGATGGCGATGCTTAAGTCCGCCGTGTCGTTAGAATTGTTGTCACTGTGCTCCAGTTTAATGAAGTTTATAGCACTCCTAATTGTCAAGTCGAGCTAGAGACTAGGACTATTTTCCAGCGGTATTTTTCCAGGGCTTTACGATTTCTGTGCACTTTTTTAATTCACTTAAGAAGTTTGTTGTGGTTCCTGTCAACGGCTTGATGGAATCCTAAAGGATGCCTCAATGATTCCATCGACGTTCATAGATGACGGTGTAATCTGCTTGTGCCATGCTTTCACTTGGATCACAGCGTCAGCCGTCGTGCCATTCATATCACCTGTCAGCTTAGTAAGGAAACTTGTTGTGTGTTTTGATCCTATTCCCGTAGTGTGTTCAAAAACATTGATCATTTGTTTCCTTTGACTCAACCCAGTTTGTTGGATAACTACATTGAAGCTCTCGTTCCGGTCAGAAACTGCATCAGTAGTAAAGTTGGAGCTTCGCAACTAAATTTTGCAGGCATATTTTGTTTTAAAGAACAAATTTGCTTGGGCCTCGCCTACAATTTGAATGTACATTTCTCGTTTTGCGGCTGAGTAGTATGAACTTGGCCGCTTCTGATTTGGATTTACTGGCTTTTGACGTTGCAAGCTGCACAGGGATTTGGGCCGTAACAAACTCTTGCTTTCATATTTCGACCCATTCCAGCTGCGAATGTCACCACAGAAAATGTGATGGCGAAAGGATCTAAATTCTAAAACTTGCGAAGACGGACGCTCGAGTATTAGGAAGATATGTGCAGCTTTTGCGTTCAAAATTTCACAGTCGAGTCAGAAGAAACCTCAGGCAACATACGAGACCATAAAAACGTCAGAGTACGGTCAGTCCTCCGACCAAAATTTTGGAAGGGGTCTCTTAGCCAAGGTTGTCTCCGGGTTTTTGTTTTCGGGAAATATGTCTTACCTGAATGATGTCCACCCCTACAAAGAGTGCCAGAACCATTCCCTGCAAAGCATCTCTTCTTGCACCCCAAGTCGTAGATTCCAAACGCCACGGCTAAATGGCCTATTTGAGATCGTAACGATAAAGTCATATCGCAACCTATCCCACCCCGAATAACAAGCATGCGGGTCTCTATACACTAAAGTACTGAGGAAAACTCATCGAGCTGCAAACGCTGAACTCCTAACCATTCTTAACATTGTGGTTGACACGGTTGATAGCTCACATCCTTGGGGATCGTCCTGGTGCAACCTTGACAGGTGCACTGTCAATCACTGATCATTCGTACTTTTTATTTACCCAAGAATATGAGACCAAGAAAGAACACAATGGAGTAGTCGGATAGAATAGTTTATTTGTAAGGTCGTGTCAAGATACCGATGCGTTCCAACTAACTGGCTGAAGGGTCAATTACGAGCGGTGCAGAGTAACATGATGGCGTGCCAAATGGCGAGGATGCTTGATTGGGTGCCTTCAGCTTAGCGAGTCCAGTTAAACAATCAAGGTCAGCACAAATGTTGAATCTCGTCAGACCCTGGCATTCTCCAAAATAGGAGTCATAAACTAGGAATGCCAGGGATTACTAAGCAGTCACCTTACCCCAGTAGTTTCAACAATAATTGCGGTCCTCCTTTAGGCTTGGCTCTTCTTATAAATAAATAAATAGATATTTTGTCCTCAGGTTATGAAGTTAACATGAGAAAACCGGTTTACAGGCACCATCAAATTGATAACTGCCGAGAGACCTAAAGGACTTGAGCAGTGTTGGATGGTACAGAAGAGGGGACATCAAATCCTATCATGGTATCGGATGTCCAAAAGTTGTGAAAAGGGCAAGAAAATATCACCTTACTGCACATACATATCGTTCTGGGTTTACATCATTCCAACCCAGAATACTTTTTCATGCTAGTGATATCAAATCCAGGCAATATTCGGTGTTTGCGTCATGAATAGTCAACATGATTAACCCGTTTGCAAACTCCCATGTTTCCTCAGATAAATGTCTATTTTAACAGCAATTCTTGTGTTCATAGCTTTATTGACCAACAAAAACCTACCTCATTGGTTTCAGGAATAAGTGAGTATCCATACAATCATCTAACCCAGGTGAATATCTAAGTTCAAGCATTTCTGACCCTTCGTGTGTCACCTTTCCCATCAATTCAGATTGATGGTGATGGAAATATCTGTTGTGGTGCAAGTAATTAAAGACTGGAGGAACGGTCGTTCAGCAGTGGTGGGCTTACACATGTGTAAGACTTCATAGATTTTACATTGAAGCATACAGTATTATCAAGGAGATATATTGGCCGTCAATTGACTTCTATTAGATGGTTTCATACCAGACAGGTCACTGGGAAACCAGTTACATAGCACTATTGTTGCAAGTATGTTGCCTTTAGGTAAAGTGATCCCTCAGGTTGATTTGTGTGTCCAAATTTCTGCCTCATTTGTGATAGACCAGAAATCGGAAAACAGTTATTGTGCTTATGGTTTTGTATGTGTTAGCATTTAGGGTACTGGTAGGCGGGTGAGTTGACTGTGAAGCTGTTCAAGAGGCGGGAAACCGGGCCAAGCCAGTTGCGGGTTGTGATAGCCTTAATCTATACGTTCAGAGGTTCTGGTATATTTTTACTGGCCCAGAACGTGCAGATAATGCCCAGACGAGCTGTAGATTCATCATCTGTGAGGAGTGAAAGGCAAATAATGAACCTGCAGTACGCATTTCCCCCAGAAAGTCTGTTCCAGAACTTATTGTAAAAGAAACTACCTCGCAGCACTCATTTTCGGCTAATGGATTGTGATTACGTGAGTAGGGAGTGGGGAGTTAGGGGTCACATTAGTGCAGTTGCTCGCGTGTTAATCTGTAGTAAAAAACTAGATTCATTCTAAGTCATCTCTTCCAGGGAGGTCCCAGTTCTAGTATGCTGCACATGGAGATGTAGTCTAGGCTATAGTCAGCTCCTAGTGTTCTTAATGTAAGGTGGCGTTGTACCCCTTCAATTTTTCATTTGTCGCTTGTACGAAGGCCTCATAGAACAAACGGGGAGTATTCTAGAATTGGACGGACGCTCACTCTGTAGAGTAGGAACCTTGATTCCCTACCATACAAGTTACGGACGATCCATCCCAGGAGTCTACGTGAGTGAGTTTAACCTGACAGTCTTAGGATCTGGAAGGCTGCTAGGATACCCAATGTAAGACAGTCTGCCTTCAGTCTGTATGTATCTGCTGGACCACGGAAGTAACCGAAGACTTGATAGTCAAGAGAGATGGGGGAGATTAGTGGATTTTGTGGGCAGTGAAGTAAGCAATTGAGCGCAATGCTACCATAATGCCATATTCTTTGACATCCGTGAACCTTATGAGAAAAGACTGTCAAAAAGCACCTAAATGATTGCTTCAACCCAGGCTGTCAATAAAATCAGGAAACAAAATAACGGGTCTGTGTGCCCTGTCCCGTTTCAGTCTAATTAACTTCCCAATGCAAGAAACTTCACACTTACTTTCATGCGCTTGTGAGAAGCATTATCTTGACAATACAACTCCAAGTGTAGGGCACACCTCGTAAAATGATAACAATTACCAACGCATCAAAAACAGATTCGAGAAATCGAGAGAACTGGAACATCGTTATCACACTCCCCACAATACGTCTGTGTGGATTATTCCACGCTGACTGATGAGAAAATTGAAATCTGAGATAAGAGGTTATAAAACATGGAGACAGAAATTTATAAAGCTATGAAGCCAACTACTTCACTGGTGCCGCTATTCTGACAGAAGCCAAAGATGATTGGCCTACCCTGTCTAGCAGAATCATCCAGGGCGCATAAGGAATCTAAGTATTTTAGTTGATTGTAGGTAGTCGACGGGAAGCTTTGAACTTAGGTTTCTCACTCGTATGCACGCGTCAATAGGGAATGTGCGCAACTCGTGGGAAACTTTTATTCCCTCCAGATTTGAATACTTGTCACCCAGGGTCGTAGTCAGTGGCACTACCACTAAGCTATTCGGGCTGGGATTGGCCTTTTTTTGACTGGGTTATATACATTGATTGATCACTGCGGAACGACTGACATCATGTTCGCCAGTCTCAAGTGCTAAGTGAATCCACTTTGCCATTTTGCTA